ATCCTATCCTACTAAAATGTAATTTTTACATACAAATTCAAATTCAACTGTATTGCAACCATATATATAGTGATTTGATGAAACAATTTACAGTACAAGAATTCATAAAAACATTCAAAATACAGTACAGTACGTCCAAAAAAAGGGGGGAAAAATACAAGACAAGACAAACACAAATATTTAGGGGGAAATACATCAAAAATTTACATTAAGAAATCTCATTAACATGATTTAAATAGGAATAAAATAAGGTCAATATTCAACATCAAAAAATTTAAATTGCACTTGAAAAATCACTAACTTAGAATAAAAAGCAATAAAGGGGTCAATAAGAGAACATCAAAAATGTACATCAAGGGAGAAAAAAAATTATAGAACAACAACCAAAATCTTGAACCATGTAAAAGCGTCTGGTTCTCCATACTTCCCGTGCCATGGGATATATCCTACTTACAATCTCTTGTATGGACTTCTACACAGTCTATAGCTTTGTCCACACTATCAAATTTTATGTGTCAAATAAATGTGATATGCCCATATTAGGGTGTAAAATGACATCATCAGGCGCATATGCGGGCACATCACACAAATGAGGCATATTGTGGCAAAATGGTAAAGTTGTCGCACAGTCCAGTATTGAGTAAATGAGCTATAAAATATGGGAGCTCAAAAATTGCTAAAAAACCCAAATTTGTTTTTCACTATAGGTCAACAGTTTAATGTCTTATTAATCATGTCCCAAAGTATTAGTTCTGGAAGTGGTTAACAAATTGTTTATTTAAGGTTATTTTTCATAGTTCATTCTATTAAACAATGTATGCACAAATAACTTTGAAAGGCAATTACTCAAAATCCTGTTTATCTTGACTCTAAGAGTACTGTACTTTCCAATAACTTAGGCTTGAAATGTCCAATTTGAATGAATGACCCCTCATTTTAAAGATCACATACTCAGGTATTTGAAAATACTAATAAATGGAATTTCAATTTTTGCTACAACTTAGCCATTTTGCCACAACATGCCTCAAATTTGTCACATAAAATATGATAAAAGCTCTGTCCATACTATCAAACCCTTGCATGCCAGTGTTAACAGAATAAATGAATAAAAAAAATAAATAAATAAATAAATGATGATATTTACTTTTACTTTTTCTTTTCATTCCATAGTTTGATGTTTGTTAATATATCTCCAAAAGAAGAGAACTTTGGTGAATCATTGTGCTCTTTGAGGTTTGCAACAAAGGTTAGTATACTATTAGTTATAATTAAAATTCCTTGATTCACAATGTGATAACTGGGGGTGGATCCAGAGAAAAATCTGGGTTGGGGAGGTGTTGCAGCATAGTTGTAACATGAAGTCAACACGAGTACACAAATTACAACTTTTATAGGTATGGGGTATGCAGTGATTTCAATACCATTTTCTTTTCTCGCTCCCTTCCTCCTCTCTTTTCTTTTCTTCTCTCTCTTTTTGGGAGGGGATCCTTTGTGATGCGAATATTTAATACTTCATTTATTGACGATTTTCTATGTTTTCTCTTTGCCAGGTAAATCAGTGTAACATCGGCACAGCACAGAAAAAGGTCAAATAGATTGTAAACCTAGTGCATTAGGGTACAGTAATGAAGCTGGACACAACTGCGCTAATGGTTATTGGCCAATGCGATTTCCTGAAGAACGCGATAACGCACTTGCAAATGATCCTTCCCAATGATAATCCTCTCATTCTGCCGCAATCAGTAGACGGCGTAGCGCCCGTAGATAGAACAGATGGATTCATCAACCGACTGTTTCTGTGTGTGCCCAGCCGGTATATTGTCTGCATTCCATCTGGATATCTTGTGAATACTTAACCTATTAGGGAAGGGTACTTGTATTTTGAAATTCATTTTGGTTTTTTTCATTTTATCTCTAGTATCAATTTGTATCTTAACATTCTATACTTGCCACATAATTAAATGATGTTTAGTCCAGCAAACATAAAATTTCAAGTTGGAAAAAAAATTATAAATAGTGAGGAATGGGTTAATAATACCACCCAATAACATAAATGATTTGATACCATGTGCTGTACATATGCTTTAATTAAATGAATTATTACACTGAGGGAATAATTACGAGGACAACAAAACATGTATAATAATTTGTTAATGAAAATTGGTAAGACAACAGTTGAATAAAAGTAAATAAATAGAATGCTAATGTGTGATTTAATGCAACATCATAATTTAAAATGTATGCATGTCATTTATTGTGTATTACATTGTAAATTAATTTGTAAATCTTTTTATATCATTTTGTGTACCTTTCAATATGTATTATTTTTCAGTAAAGTATTGCTTGTCATTGACTCTTGCACCTATAGTCTCAAGACAAACTTTAGTTTGCTAGGATTGTAAAACAAAATGTCATTTATATTCTAAAATCTATTTCAGGCATATGTTTTACATATGTGAGACAATTTTTTAACTGGGCATTGTTATGGCCAGCTTCATTAACCTATACAAGCTGAAAATAACCTATGCCAGGCTAAAAATTGTCTCGCATATGTAATCACTAGCTTGCAATTTTACCATGTTTTGAGTGTATATGGTCAAACGACTATTCCACTTTTTCCACTATTATCTTTATGAAAATATATACAGGTATTCTTTAAAATTTTCTCTTTTCATTGGGTATGTGATTTCTAGTCACCTTTAGTTGAAACAAATACATATTGAGTGGAAAAGGCCACAAATTTTCAAAATTGCAATCTTATATTTAAGTAACTACTCTTAGTGCTACTTCAAGCCAAACTAAACTAAAGATTGTTTTAAGAATACAGGTTAATCCAAACTGTGAGAAGATATTTTGCATTGGGGATTTTTTTTTGTTCATTTTTGGTTGTAAAAATAATAGGACACTGATCAGAAGTAAAAACCCCTTGTTTGTGTTTGACGTAAAGTACTGTACATTAGAACCATAATATTTCAACTTTACCCCACTGATGCATTTGTGACAATGATAAAAGCTTCAAAATTTGATGTTATTATTGGTACAGTACTGTACAGTATTAATTATTTGATGTTTAACCTATCTTAACCTATGTAACATAGAATCAGACTTTGTGACTTTACTGCATGCTGTAAATAAACTTCGCATGGATTGAATGGTCTTTTATCTAATGTAGAAATTATTCTGTAAAAGCTAGTTTGATCATTTACACTTTACAAAGACATTTTCACACAGCCTCAACCGAGGTGGACATCAAATTCAAATCAATACAGTATTTATCATATCAAACTTAACAGCGACAAGCAAAACAACACACTTCAGAGTGTGTATGTATATATATATATATATATCTTTATCTTTATCTTTATTGGTCTAATATATTTAAAATAAATACATCAGAAATTCTTCATTTATACACTGCAATAGAAGGTAAGAAATTCAATATACAATTACATATAAAAGGTTAAACACAATTCAATTACAATTTAAAATAGGAAAAGTTATGTTAAACGGCAAAAACAATTCAATATATACAATTCAAATAAATACTTTAGGTAATACAATAAAATTTACAATTATTAATTAGATTGATATTCAATTCAATTCAATAATTCTTTATTTATCCCTCATGGGGCAATTTTAAATATTGATATGATGATCAAGGTGTTCTCTCCATGGGTAGCAAAAATTATCTTTCAACATACAGTATTTGTTGTAAATTACAATAGAATGTTGAACAAACGATTTGTTATAGCGTTTAGTACGACTAGGTAAAGAGCGAATACGGATATGGGATGGGAGAAAATTGTACTCGTTGTAGAGTGGGTGATCATTTTGAGAAAGTATGCGTCTTACCATGGAGAGAACACCTGCATTATACTTAAAATTGAGCTTAGAAGAATCTACTATATAT